TTTAAATATTTATTTATTAGTTATTGGCGGACACAACATCTTTGTTTGTATGTGGTGCTGGAGGATCGAACCCGGGCCGCACGCATGCCAGGCGAGCGCGCTACCGCTTGAGCCACATCCCCAGCCCCGTCAACATCTTTGTTGGTATGTGGTGCTGGAGGATCGAACCCGGGCCCCACGCATGCCAGGCAAGCGCGCTACCGCTTGAGCCACATCCCCAGCCCTAATATTGAATTTTTAAGGGTGATAAGAAAATTGGACCAAATCTCCTACACCCTCAAGCAGATTGCCTCATAGATGCTGTGTGAGGTTGTACCTTTAATGTGCTTTCTATACTGCTGAAATCCAACTCACATAACCTTCAGAACCTTATCAGAAGGGCTTCTGACAAGTTGTAGATGTATCTATCTTCTCTCCATGCCACCTGTTGCTGATATGGCTCACTCTCTGAATGTGTCTGTTAGTTTCCAGGAACATCCTATGGTAGGGACTCAAGCATACCTGTCACCCTGTCACCCAGTACACTTGATTCAAATTAGGATTTTTCTTAGGGGACTCCAGGTGTTCCTGAGGTTCTTGTTGGCATCTGTACTTGAATGGCTTAAATAACTTCGATCCACATGCAACTGACAAGAGGTATAGGGCGCATGATGGCAAGCCAGACTATTTTGGTTATCTCCATAATTRTGAAATAACATTCTGGCTGCAAGGTATCTCAACTGCTGTGAAACACTGGTGTGACAGAGACATTTTCATTTAAACACTGTCAATCTTGCTTGTATATTGTACTGTTCTTTTCCTTGCTGAAACATTTGCAGCCATGTATGTGAGACCTAAGGGTTAAATTATTTGATACTAATATAAACTCAGTACAGATTATATCTTGAACTCCCACTATACCTAACTATCTAGTTTTGGACATTTCAGATCCATAATTTACTATTTTTTAAAAACATTTTCTTTTAGTTGTAGGTAGGACACATATCTTTATTTTATTTATTTATTTTTATGTGGTTCTGAGGCTCAAACCCAGCGCCTTGCATGTGCTAGGCGAGCGCTAACACTAAGCCACAACCCCAGCTCCCCATAGTTTACTTTTGACAATGGATTTCAGATCCCTCAGTCTCTTCTACATAACAGAAGCTGGCAATTTATTTTGGTTTTAGATCACAAAACACCTTAATAATGTTTTCTTAAATAAAGCTGATAATGTAAAGGAATAAATGCAGTTAAAATAGAAACATATTTCATATTGCAAAGGGAGGACAAACAATTTAGGTAGGAGAAAGTTAAAATGAATTGTGGTTCATCTTGGTACTGAGGGCATGTCTCCTTCTGGGAAAGGGGCATTTTTACTCCAAAGAATCAATATTGTAGGCACCACATGAAATTCCAGTGTCTATATGTATTTTAATAAGGGAATTTTGGGGGATCTGGAGGTGTAGCTCAATGGTACAACCTAGCATGCATGAAGCCCTGAGTTTGATTCCCAGAAATACCCACCCCCCAAAAAAAAATCCATTGAAAAAACAATTACATTGCAAATTAAGACAATTACCTGAAAAGGTGAAGATGGTGCTGTTCTATGTTTGGTAGTGTAAGAAGAGAAGAATCTTTTAACCACCTACCCTGGATCAACATCTGAACCAGGTTGGTGATATTCAGGGCAGTCACCAGCCAACCTTGGTTTGCAGCCACATCCAGCATTGCCTGAATAGGCAAAAAGCACATGTTACAAGAACATCAAGGCATTTACCCTCTCCCATTGGAAATCTTACATTAGCTTTAACAAAACAAAACAAAACAAAAAACAACAACAAAAAATCAATCATTTTATCACTAAATTACTATTCATACAAATAAAAACAAAATAAACTACAGTTGGATGGGGAAAACAAAATGAATTTCCTGTAACATCCTACAAAAAGTCAAACACTAAGCTAATTTTAAGAGTAAAAACTCATTGTACTTTGAAAACAAATACTTAATAATTCACTATATCAAGAATACTAGGAGCTGCATTTCTTCTTTTTAAAACAATTCTTTTTAGTTGTTGATGGACCTTTATTTATTTATTTATACACAGTGCTGAGAATTGAACCCAGTGCCTTATGCATGCAAGGTAAGTGCTCCACCACTAAGCTACAACCCCAGGCCCTTCACGGAGTCTTTTAAATTTGAAAACCAATGAGGGTAAGGAGAGAGAAGGTTTTCTTGCGAAAAACTCATTTTTCCCAAAGGGCAAGTTAAGAATAGAGTCTTGTTCTCAATGACAATAATACASCACATACTAGGCAAAGGGGCAACTGCCAGTGGTACATGTGGAATGATGAAAAGCTATTCATATTAGTCTATACATTTAATCAAATGTTTTATGGACAAACAAAAGGCTGCATTTGCTTAAGTAAAAACTAAACAGTGAAATCTTATTTAAACAAAGGAGAAGTTTACACAGGCAAAGCCATTTCAATTAAATTAGATTCTGGAGAATGATGACTTAAAGACACATAAGTTAATATTATGATCTTAGGCAGTTATTTCATACAGTTTTAAGACTCCACTCTCTTATTTTTGGATGTACCTAGCAAAGCATTACAATGATACTTTAATGGTAAATATCTCACTGACAGCAAAGTATTTATAAAATCTTGAACAAAAATCTATTAATTTTGAAATGATTTTAAGCTGTTCTAGTAAAATTAATTTCCTGTACTTCTAAGAATTTTGATAGAGACATATTCTTCTTCTAAGTTGCAAATTTCCAATTCTGTGTATTCTAATGTACAAAAAGTAAACTATTTTAATAAATTTGGTTAAACTAACCTATGATCTCTTTATATACACTACAGGGAAATAGAACAAAGTTTTTGCATACCCTAATTAGTGTTAAAGGATGGTCAAAATGCTTTTTAGTACCTGTTAACCTGCTAGTTATACATCATAAAGCCTGAATGTTGGTATAATAAACATATGTGTCTTTATGTGCATGTATGATTGTGTGTACACATATGAATGTACATATTTATAAATCCAGAGAAGATACATTTATATTTTTCTTTACAAAGAAGAAAAATGCTCTTTTCACTTTTCTGTGAAGTATAGGAAACAAGCAGGTTATGATGAATGTATGCTACATACAGAAAAAAGTAGTTCACTAGTTGTAACTCTTGAGACTTGCTAAGGGAAAAGGAAAATAAAAATGAATAATTATACCTAATTGAATATCATAACTTGTAATGTGGAGTAACTATGGCAATTTTACATGTGATTTTACATTACAACTTGACTGGAAATAAATTCCAGACCAAAAATTCACATACTAGAAGAGCTGGATGAATGAACCATATGCTTTTAACTTTGAAGTTTTGATGATAAAGTTGAAAGATTGCATAAAATTTATGAGACTTCCCAGAATTTTTCATTGTATGATCCAGATGTGAAAATGWAAAAAAAAAAAAAAAAAAAAAAGCAAAATAAGTGCTTATCATGTGAAGTAAATGAAAGGCCATATCAGGAATTGAAAAACTATTATCTTTTATTAGTTTACAGAAAAGGCAGGTGGGTAGATCAAGAATCTGGGATGATAAAAGGTTTTGAGGCTTGTGTGGTGGACCAAATGCTATTACCCTTTTCTCTCTGCTCAAACCGCCCTGGTGCTCCTGTTGTCTCCTCCCTACTACTTGATACTGACCCTCCTTGTCTCTTCTGGAATGTTATATAAATTTCCTTTATTCTCAATCTCATAATTTTTCTTTAATTTGTACTTTATATTTTTTCACACTGAATTTTTAAAGAGGTAAAACTGGTCATGTCATTCCTCTGCTAAAATTTCAATGCCATCAATTGGTAAGGAGAACAAAACTAACATGTCTCTCTGCATTACAGATGGTCAACACCCCACTATCTATTTGGTCCTTGGTTTATCTGGTCCTTACTTTTCTCTCTGGCCATCCCCCCACCTCGAATAGAACAATAGAAAATCAATGGTATTTTTTTCACATTTTCCCTTGCTTTTACTGATTTATTTTTTAAAACAAATATCATTCCTTTTGTTCACCTGAGAAATTCCTATTCATTCTTTGGGTTTAGCTTAAACGCTACTGATATTATGAAACTTCACTGATTCTTTTTGAGAGAGAGAGAGAGAGAGAATTTATTTTTTTTATTAGTTGTTCAAGACAATACAATGATCTTGACATATCATATATTTGACTCAAATAAGGTATGAATTGTCATTTTTCCATGTGTACAGATTGCAGGGTCACATTGGTTATACATCCATGTGTATACATATAGCAATCCTAGTGTCGGTTGTATTCTGCTGCCCTCCCCTACCATCCCTATTGTCTATCCATACTACTGTGACACTTCTCTCTCTCTCTCTCTCTCTCTCTCTCTCTCGAATTTTTAACATATATATTTTTTTTTTTTTTAGTTTTCAGTGGACACAATATTTTTGTTTGTATGTGGTGCTGAGGATTGAACCCGGGCTGCATGCATGCCAGGCGAGTGCGCTACCGCTTGAGACACATCCCCAGCCCTTCACTGATTCTTTCAGATGGATTTGGTCCTTTCTCTATGCCTTTGCTGCTTTTGAGGAATGCCATCATTATTATAGTATGACTTTTTGTTTACACACCTGTCCTTTGAACTATAGGCTCCTTGACAGCAAGAATCTGGAATTATTTTCTATAACTCCAGCCCTAGCAAAGAACACTCAAAAAATACCCGTTCTACTAAAGAACACTGGAAAGCCCATGGTACATGCTTATAATCCCAGTGGCTCAGGAGGCTGAGGCAGGAGGATTTTAAGTTCAAAGCCAGCCTCAGTAATGTAGTTAAGGTCCTAAGCATCTCGGCAAGACCCTGTCTTAAAAAATAAAAAGGGCTGGGCATATGGCTCAGTGGTTAAGCACCCCTGGGTTCAATCCTCAGTAACAAACTAACAAACAAAAGAATATAGGTTAAAAAATTATAAGAATTATAATAAATTCTGCCTAAGTTACTGTACAAAACAGAAGATAAAACACAAGTTTTGATGTCACACACAAACAGATTTGAATCCTAATTCTGTCCCATTTATAACTCAGGAAGATCACTTTACCCTACTGAACCTAAGCTTCTCACTAATAGAAGGGTATCATATTTCACCTCCACATGCTTTCTTTTCCAAGAAGCAAGATACTTGCAGCCCTGCCTGGCCTAAGTGGACAGAATGTCACATTCTTTAGCAAACTATCTGTTAACTGCTGGAGACCAGATCCTAAAACTTTGGGAGATAAAAAAAGTTCCTTCTAACCATAAAATCTGGAATCCAATTGGAACGAGTCAGCATGGGTGAAGGTGACCTGGAGTTGCCATGACAATGGAAACTTGAAAAAGTCAAGAGGTGAACCTGGCCAGGAAGCCTGCCTCTTGCCCCTGGCAAGACCCCTTGCTATGACACTCTTAGGCCTAATATTCACTCCTTACATTTTAAACTGCTTGGTCCAGTTTGTTATGTCATGCCTAAAAGCAACAAAACTAAAGATGGTCTTGACTTCTGAACAGGAAGACCTTAAATATCCAGCTTTATAAAGGTTGATGCCGTATATGATACAGACAGGTATCAGAGGGGGAAATGAAGAAGAAATATTACTTTACAGTTTTGGTCTTTGTAAGAGTGTTACTTAATTACTGGTCCCTGTAAGAGTGTAGTTTAAGTACTTGTGTAAATTGTAGCATTTCTATGCTAGTTTTTTTTTTTTTTTTAATATAGCTCTTAGAAATGTAAGCTTACAGTTATTTTGAGAAACTGCTGCCTGTGGTGAAGGTCACTTGTGATGTCGCTTGGAGGTATTTCACTGCATTCATTCTGCATCTGTGTACTACTTACTGAAGAATTCCTGTGCATGATCTTTGGTCACACAGGTCAGTAATTCAAACTCACCAATGTTGTAATGGTTAAAAGAAATGATATCAAATTTCCTACAAAAGTTCCACGTAACCTCAGCTCGGGGCCCAGAATTTCAGAGCACTAGCTCATCTGGGTATGCCAGAATAATAAACCTGAGTTCTCGAACAACAATCCTCCCCCCCCCAAAAAAAAGGTATCATATTTCCTTTTAGGTGATCTATGAGGGTAAAATGAAATGTTCTACTTACTATATTAGTACCTAATATACTACGCTACAGAGTGGTGACTAATAGACAAATGCCTATCTTAAAGTTCCTCTATGATAAGATGAAGACATCCTAAATGAACCCATTCTTTCTAAAAGGAATTTTCTTTGGTCTTTTTGGTGTTGATTTCTACACTGGGCAGTAGTWGATGGGCAAAGGAGATGCATGGGATAGAAAATACAGGCCCATCAAAAGAGGTGTGCAGTTATAAGAAAGCCAGGAGAGAAGGTCAAAATTCAATCCTGCAACTTAGGTAAAACTGGAAGGTGTGGGCCTTCTCAATTCAGTAGGCAAGTTCATTTTACTCTTCAGAAGTGCGTAACTAATAGGAGCTAAGGATGGGGGGATGGTCTAGGTAAACAAGCTGGGGGATCCTGGTAGTATGTACCTTTATATGACTGAACCTAGGAAGGACTGACTCTATCTCCTTATCTTTATAGTAGTCTGTCTGGCAGATAAGGTCTAATAGGTATATGCTCCTCTCTAGAGTCTGGCTTTGGCTACAGCTGGAGAATATGGCTTAGTTTCCATGTTACCTTGAAGTCCTT